CCCTTAAGTGTGTGCGTGCCTGGATGAGGGTGGTTGGCTTCCTAGATTCTGAGCTGACCCCGAGCTCTTCTCTGGCAGGTATACCTCTTCAGGCTGTGCCCTCTGTGCAGGTAGGTAAAAGATGGCAACAGGTACTGGTGGTGGCAGTTCCCAGAAACTTACGCCCCAAGAGAATTGGGTCAGAAGTCCTTAATGAGTTTCGAAGGGGACCAGCCCGAAATAACCTAGTGCAGCAGCCTTTGGGAAGGATGTGTGTCTAGACTTAAAGCCAAACCAAAACAAGAGCAAAACAAACAAGCAAACAAACCCAAAACTCTCCAGGGACAGAAGAGATGGCTAAGTGGCTAAGAGCGGGTGCTCTCTGGCAAAGGACCCAAGTACATTTTCTAGCACTCATGGCAGGGGCTCACAATTGCCTGTAACTACAGGGAGATCCAACACCTCTGGCCTCCAGGAGCACCTGCATTCATGTGCACGCCCCCAACACATAAAGCTAATTAAAAATAAGATTTTTTTTTTAAAAAAGAATACTTTAAAAAACGATAAACCAGATTTGGACTGAGGTTGCCCATGGCTTTAGAGGCATTCGGATTCTCTGAGTGGCTTTCTGGGTGAGAAGGGTTTTCAACCTTGCCTGACTGTATTATCTTACCTCCAGGTCCAGAGCCTCTGCCCCAAAAGGGTCTGCAGTACCTGGTGCTCCTGTCTCATAGGCACAGCCGGGAGTGCAGTCTAGTGCCTGGGCTTCGGGGGCCTGCAGGTGGCGATGGGGAGCTTGTGTGGGAGTGTTCAGCAGGGCACACATTCTCCTGGGAACCTTCTTTGATTCCTACTCCCGTGGAGGAGCCCAAGCAGCACCTCCTTTCACACACTACTGAGAGGACCTGGTGTTCAGGGGCCAGGAGGAAGGACCCTGAGGGTGAGTGGGGAAAGAAGGGTTTCGGAGAAAGAAAAAAAGCTCTCCAATCTTCTCTAGCTCATAACTGGTCTGTGAAAGTGATCTTATTATTATTTGTTAATTTATTGGTTGAGATAGGGTCTCATGTAGCCAAGGAGCCTTGAAGTCCTGGTCCTGCCTCCACCTCTCAAGTGCTGGAATTACTAATAATGATCCTTTTATGCCAGCAAGGAAATAGATCCTCCCATGGGTCGTTAGGTATAGAAAGCAAAACCCTAGAGTGATGGTATGCTACCTTTGACAGAAGCTGGAAATAAGGTTTAAAAGAGAACGCATTTGTAAAAAGCACCAGGTTGCCACTGGGAAGAAACTGTCCTCAGACTTTGAGCACAGGCCTCCTTCTCTTATGACCTGCTTGTGCCAGCAGGTTTGGAATGTGAACAGCATGAAAAGACTCAAGAAAGCAGGCTGTCCAGGTGAGGATGGGAGGTGAGGGGCAGGACAGACCTGCACAGGTAGTGGGAGTGCGGTGGCAGTTTCTCAGGATTGTCTTTCTTGAGCTTGCAGGGGAGTGGAATCCCCACTGGAGACCTTCCCAGCCCCGGGAGAGGAGCAGGATGTGGAAGAGGATGAGGATGAAGAGCCACTCCCTGAAGCCAGCCCATGGAGCCACTCAGTGATGCCAGCCCATGGACCTCCAGCTCCTCCCCAGATGAGCCAGTTGGGATTGAGGGAGGAGGCTGAAGATTGAGAGAGGGAGGAGGCAGCTGGCCCCTGATAATTCAGAGATGTGTCAGCTGGAGGGATGGACTTGCTGCAGGGTGGGCAGGGTAGATGTTGGGGAAAGTGAACTGTAAGCTTTGAATTGGGAATATGGAAAAGGGATTAAGTCAGGCTTTGGGAGAGGCTGAGAACAGGAGAGCCTTCTGTGGGAGTTGGGATCTTTTCCATTTAGGGGTTAGGGCTTGGTTGGGGCTGACTGATTGCTCAGAGGGATAATGGCCTTCTCTTCCTGCTTCTCTTTCCAGCAGTGAACCAGATGTTCCTAAGCCACCTCCATCCCCTGTTACCCACACACCTAAGGAGGGAGAGATCCCGCCAGTACCTACAATTCTCCCTAGTCCTTGTGCTGTTCTTGCCTCTCTGGGTTCTACAGCTGCTCTGACATCAGAAGCTGAGGTGCGGCTAGAACTCAGTAGGACCCCTCAGACCTCTGTAGAGCTGCAAATGATCGAGTCTCTGGACAGGTAACGTGATGGCTGAGACAGAGAGGGCAGGGATGTCCTGGGATGTGTCACTCTTGAGGCCTTTGGCTGCTTCTTTGCTACCCATAGCCCTGGGAGTCAGGCCCAGTCTACTGCGATGGGATGAGGATACTGCCCAGATTGGACTCAGGAGAATGAGGTAGGACTGGGGAGATGGGGCTCTGGGGAGGGTCAGGAGTGAGGCAGAGTAGGTGAGAATCCTGCTGTCATTCTCCACATACACAGGAAAGCTGCCAAAAGAGAGCTGATGCCTTGCGACTTCCCTGGCTGTGGAAGGATCTTCTCCAACCGGCAGTATTTGAATGTGAGGGGCACAAGTTGAGGCCTGAGTGACTACTGGGGTTGGGGGTAGGGAAAAGACACCCCTGGGCTGAGGTGTAAATATAGTTTAGTTGCAGTGCAATTGTCTGGCATTTATAAGGAAACACACACAGTTTTTGGTGTAGAGGTGAAGGCCCAAGCTCCACAGTTGGTAAAGGCCTCTGGCTCCAAGTATAGGGAGGGCCAGAGAGATGGTGAGGTACAGGTAGACAGGATGGACCTGAGAAGGGTATCTATAGGTCAGCTTTGAGCCTTTTATGTAGGAGACTGCAGCAGCTCCTGTGGCTAACTATGGGAACACAGGATTAGGATGCAAGCGGCACCCAGGAATGCATGCTCTAGGATGTGACTAGATCACCCAAGAAGGACTTCCTTGTTGGGAAGTTCAGTTCGAAGTACCATCTGCCAGGTGGGGTGCAGCTCAGTGGTAGAGCACCTGCCTGCCATATGCCAGGTCCTGGATCATAACCCCAAACTGAAAAAAGAAAATAGAAAAAAACAAACAAGAAAATCCCCAAGCCTCCACAGAACCCTTTCCCCTCAACAGTGCTCTTTTGAGAGCCTATGAGGTCTATGTATTTCCAAAGCAGATGTAGGAGAAAACCCCACATTGGTATGGATAAATAGCATAACCAGAGACTGCAGCACACACTAATGTGGGTCATCATGTTCCGCCCCTGTCAGACAAGGTAGGATACACCATGAGTGTCATGCGGAGTGGCATTTTGTACAGGGAACTCTAGACATTGCAATGATGGTGTGTAGTGGGTAGGCATCCAGAGGGAACAGTTAAGTGGTCAGGGTGGGAGGAGAGTTGTGCTACTTAGGGCGTAGGTGAGGGTGGGGCCAGAAAGGTGGTCCAGACACTGATAGAACTGTGGTGAGGAGACAAGGGCAGAAGAGGAGCCTGCCTGCTCACCTAGCTCAAAGCAGTCTCCCTGGGGAAGCAGCCATTCTTTTGCCTCTTATCTCTGTCACCCATTAGCACCACAAGAAGTACCAGCACATCAACCAGAAGTCATTCTGCTGCCCCGAGCCAGCTTGTGGGAAGTCCTTCAACTTTAAAAAGCACTTGAAGGAGCATGTGAAGCTGCATAGTGGTGAGTGCTGGAACCCCTTCAGCTCCCCTGGGGAGGACCCCATCCCTTAGTCCCTGTATTGCCTCCTTGAGATTGTTACTGGGTTCTGGGTAGCCTGACCCTTGTGAAATGTCAATTCTTGTCACGTAGAGCCATGAAGAGATGGGAAAGAAGGGGAGGGTGGAAAGCAGGAAGGGCAAGCTGCTTCTGTGGCCAAAGAATCCTTGTAGCAAGACCTGAGGGAAGTGAGGAACGGAGGGCAGTACATGTAGGGAGCATCTGTATTCCAGGAACGGAGAGGAGGCCTTCAAGGCCACAGTAAGGATGGTGTGGCTTCTACTTTGGGATGAGACCATTCGAGGTTTTCCGCGGTGGGGAGATAGCTGACTTCCAGAGATGGCTGTAGCAGCTACGCAGAGAATCAGGGACCACAGATGAGTAGGGATGGGTGTACCCTGATGGTGATGGCTTGGGTTTGCCCATCATAGTTGGTAAGCAGTGGCTGAGGCTCCTATGAGAGTGTAAAAGGACTGTGTGAGAAGGAAGGGTGAGCCAGGGTGGGACTGGCAGGGAAAGAGGATGACTAAGAAGATTCCAGCCTGGGCAGCTGGGTCAAAGGTGATGAGTCCCTGAAAGCAAGGAAAGGGGCTGGTGGCATAGGACTCTGGG